ATATGTATATATGTATATATATATATATTTGAGCCGAAGTCGAGCAATTGATGCTAGTGTTAAACTGTCGCTGCGAATAATGATTTCTCTCGACATGAAAGTTTTGCTGGAACAAAATCCAGGCTAAGCTGATCTAACTCAACATATCTGAATCCCTTACAGCACATAATTATGGCCGGCGGCGGGGATCCCAAGTGGCAGAAGGATGCAGCCGATCAGAATTTCGACTACATGTTCAAGCTCCTCATCATCGGCAACTCCAGTGTGGGCAAGACAAGTTTCCTCTTTCGCTACGCGGACGATAGCTTCACATCGGCCTTTGTCTCCACCGTGGGCATCGACTTCAAGGTGAAGACCGTTTTCCGCCACGACAAGCGCGTCAAGCTGCAGATTTGGGTAAGTCCAGCAGGAAGCCGAAGCAAAAGCAGACGCAATTGGTGTAGCTCATTCAGTTCGAATTTGTTCTGAGGGCATTCAGTCCATGCCTTTGTCTTCAGCCAGCTCTGTTACGACTATCGTATATTCTGGTTCCTTGATATATTATGGGCAGACGTAAAAGGAATCAAAGTCATATGACAGTCGAGCCACAGTCAGATCTCTCATATTGAGCTCTTATGTTATAAAGTCCTACTTAGATGTGGGTTTTATTCTCTTTAGTTATACTTATATTATCATGGCTCAAATAGCTCGAATCAGATTTGACTAAATTGTCAGGATTTTCAACTAGGAAGTTATCGCTTAAGGTCAAGTTCGACTTAGTTATTATCCATTTGAGCTTGAACTCTTTTCTAAGACAAACCCACTTACCTTGCCCATACTAAGCTAGGCAAGGAAACTTCGTTTATCGTAAGAATTACTCCTAACTTAACTCTTACTCCTAAAACTTAACTTCCCACGCTATTTTTCACGCCCAATAGAGCTTAGCCATAATTATTGATTGACCTTAGTTTCACTACATTAGAAATCTAATTATTATTAATTGTTCAGCACGTATCAAAAGGCAAATTCCATAAATATTTAAGCACGCAGTTTAATTAGTTAGTGTAGCTCTTAGCTAGATGAAAGGCACTAAAAAGGCGCAAAGATATCTCAACTGAATCGCATACATTGAAAAGCGAAAAGCGCCCACTCGTACACACACACACACACATGCATATACACATATACATAGCTATTCAGCTATTCAAGCTATTCAGTTATTCAGCTATTCAGTTATTCAGCCATTCAGCTATCGCAATTATTTTGCTAATTGCTAATTGGAAATCGTTCCACAGACATCCTCTTTAACCTATACCCTGAATTATTTTAAAATCAAAATGGGCTTCCAATTGAAATAGTCAATATATAAATAAGTGTAGCATACTTTTGTGGGTCGAACAAAAGTAAATGTGGCACAGTTACTAATGTGACAAGTTGGCTCACAATTAACACAGATAAAGATGGGAAGAACAAGAGGGAGGTCGAGACAGAGAGAGAGAGTGAGTGAGGCAGACAAAGAGAGAGAGCGAGAGAGAGAGAGTCAGCTCTATTGATTGCCGAGAGCTGTGTCTATTTTGGCATCAATGTCATTGAGCGACTGGCTCGTTGCAGGGGCAACAAGTTTTACAGGTGAGCGCACGGCGAAGTGTTCCCACACGACCACAGCTATGGGCATACAAACATACATACATAAATGTGTGTGTGTGGGCAGCACTAATTGCGTTTGCGTTTGCGTTTTATGCACATGACATGTAAATGTAACACTGAGACCTTACCTCGCTGACCATAACGTTTGCTTTCCTGTCTGTGTCCATGTCTCTGCCTGTGTGTGTGTGCGTGTGTCCTTCTGGGCAACAGGATACGGCTGGGCAGGAGCGTTACCGCACCATAACCACAGCATACTACCGCGGCGCCATGGGTTTCATTCTGATGTATGATGTCACCAATGAGGACAGCTTCAACTCTGTGCAGGACTGGTACGTAGCTGGCATACACTGCTGTGCATATGTATGTGCTCAATGATTTGATATGCTGATACTGCTTTTTAGGGTGACACAAATCAAGACGTACTCGTGGGACAACGCTCAGGTCATATTGGTGGGCAACAAATGCGACATGGAGGACCAGCGCGTCATAAGCTTCGAGCGTGGACGTCAATTGGCCGATCAGCTGGGCGTTGAGTTCTTCGAGACATCGGCCAAGGAGAATGTGAATGTTAAGGTAAGTGCGAATACAATATCTGATATATACATATATATATATATATTTATATATGCATACTAATCCCGATTCAATGTACGACAGGCTGTCTTCGAGCGTCTGGTGGATATTATATGCGACAAGATGTCCGAGAGCTTAGATGCAGATCCAACGTTAGTCGGCGGCAACCAGAAGGGACAGCGCTTGACGGATCAGCCGCAGGGCACGCCCAATGCCAATTGTAATTGTTAAACGGAGACAATTAGTCGAATGTTATAGACAAAAGAAAACAAAAGAAAAGAAGCAACTAACTAGCCTACATACACATAGACACCCACACACACACAGATACACACATACACACCTATACACGCAGTACAGTTACAATTTGAACAACAAGTTTGGGGAGTGCAGCAAATGAGATGCAAAAACTTATAGAGGAAATGAACAGAAGTCATACCCATATTTATATATATATATGTATATACCAACATATATATTTACCATTGATTTGCATGTATTCGAATTATATCAGTGTTTCCAGCATGTTTGTTGAGATTGTGTATTTGAAATGAGGATGTTAACGAGAGTTAGTTTCAAGGAGGAACCAAAATAAACGAGAAATAATATGTTTACACACTTTCAATGTGCTTACTGAGAAATGTTGCTAATTCGTCAATGTGTTGTGTGTAAAGAATACAATCGATAAACGATACCGATACCGATAACGATAATGATAATGTTAACGATAACAATAACTCATGTCTAAGTGGCATAGAATTGGGCACTAATTAAATATGCACAATTTTGTGCTATATATATATATATTTATAAATATAAAAAATAAATATATTTTCCACGACTTTTCCCATTTCCTTTTCGCTGTACTCTAAAAACATAAAGCTCGAACTCAGCAGTATTTAGACGATCTTTCCTTTATTTTGTTAGCTAAGCAAACACCTCTCGAGTGTTTCATTTGACAATTTTCTATGTACATACGCTGGCAGCTTGGAAAAATCAGTCAATAAATGAAAATTGAAAGAAAATTGCAGAGAAATGAGAAAACATTTAGCAGCATTAACGCACAAAGCTAGCGGATTGGTGAAATTAAACATTAAATGCAAACACACACATATACATATATATACTATATATTCATTATGAACAAACTAGTTTTCACAGCAACACACACACTCACTCTCTCACACACACACACACACATACACAACTGTACGCGTTGTATATGCATTAACGGCAAGGCTATAGTCGATGATGAAGTTCATTATTATAATTATTATTATGTATGTATGTATTTATGTAGTGAAATTAAACAATTTTAATGTGTTGCATATTATAAATGAAATGAAATATTATACATATATAAATATACATATACCATATGAGAAAACTAAACCAAAAAAAGAAAAACTCTAAATGAAACGGCATCCAAAATTTCACTTTTGTTTTACTTGCTCAAAATTTTCATTTCGAAGAGAATTTATTTGTGTAGACCAGTTCGAGCGTGATTTTAACTGGATCTATATATGGACTATATACATATATATTTGTTTATATACTGTATGTATATATACATATATTCTGTCAGATCTAGCGTTAACCGAGAGACTGCCTTTACTTTCTCAACGCACAAAAAAAAAAAAAACTTTCTGATTTTTTTTTTTTTGCTATCAATATTTTCAGCATTTTTCAATTGACAATTAACGAATTGTAACCCACCGTGCGTTGACTGCACAGTGCAACAAAACAAGCAAGCACACACACACACACACACACACAGATATCGGTGCATTTAATTTAAATGAATTACAAATTAAACTAAACTTAACTGAACTTCAATTTTTGATATGCACACGAAATAAACAATTTCTTCTGCTTAAATAATTTGAATTTCTACTAAACGAGAATCGATCAATTTTTTGTGAATGCCAGCTGACTTTGAGATATAAATATTATTAAATATATATACATATAGAATATATACATGCATGTAAAAAATGAAAAACAATTTTGTATAGCTAAAACGTAATGCTGAAAATGAAAAAAAAAGAAAAAGAAAAAACAAAAACTAAAAACAATTATATGAAATTGCTCGTAATTTGCAGAGTTTCAATTGAGAAATTAATTAAAAGGCATATCGCTGTATTATAAATACCCCCTCCTCCTCCTACTCCACCAACACCTCAAAGAATATTTACAATACGGTTGCACAACGAGATGCAGAGCAAGAGTATCTTTCAGATACATGTTGAACCAAAGTATCTTTCAGATACATGTTAAAGTATTTGTTTCGGTGTAACGAGAATTGTGAATGCCTTTGCAGCAGTAGCAGCAGCTTCGTTATCCGATTTGAACTGTTTGTTCGTTTGTTTGTTTTTTTGTCTACTATAATCAGATAACTGATAAATGGCATTATCTCTCTCTCTATATGTATGTATGTATACCCTATGCGAATATTGTGAATGTATGCTTATAGCCCAAACAAAACTGACAAAAACAAAAACGTAAATA